TTTTGCTTATGTGGTACTAAGGAATCGAACCCAGGGCCTCAAGCATATAAGGCAAGTGCTCTACCACTGAGCCACCTTCCCAGCCCCATGTCTGTGAGACTCTTAACTCCAGTTAGCCACCAGAAAACTGGAAGTGGTCCTGTGGCTCACATGGTAGATCATTCACCTTGAGCTGAAGAGCTCAGGGACAGCACCCAGGTCCAGAGTTCAAGCCCCATGACCGACAAAAAACAAAAACAAAAAGGAACGTCAGGCTGCATCAGTTCCTCTTTTCCAAGTAGGAACAGCTGTTACATTTAGAGCATCTGTTGCATGACAAGCATGGCCTACTTATTGTCACATCCATGAGCTCATTCAGTCTCCTTCCCAGCAACCTAAGTAGGTATATTAGAGCTGAAAGAAAAAACAAAAAAACCTATAGCCCAGTGCTGTGGCTCATGCCTGTGGTAAACTACTCAGGAGGTTAAGATCTGAGGATCACAGTTCAAAGCCAGCCCTGGACGTTAAGTCCATGAGACTCTTATCTCCAATTAACCCCCAAGAAGCTATGGTTCAAATGGTAGAGCACTAGTATTTAGCAAAAAAAAAAAAGTCAAGGCCAACACCCAGGCCCTGAGTTCAAGCTCAAAGACCAACACACACACACACACACACAAACACACACACACAAAAGAGAGAGAGAGAAAGACATAGACAGGCAGGCAAGCAGGCAGACAAGCAAACAAACGGAGAACTGATGTCCAGGAAGCTTAATTATGCTCCGCCAGGGTCATGCAGCTATTCTGTGATGGAGCCAGGATTTAAACCCAGATCATCTGGCACTAGAACTTCCACATTTTGTACTCCACTTAGGCCCTCACTTCAAGTATTCTTTTGAATTTGTGAAATACCACATGTCTCTTCTTCTAACATGAGGACTTATTTATGATGTATCCTTGTGTCCTGTACCACCCCCACCCCCACCCCCAACCCCCTCGGCCAGACACCTCTCAATGCACCCTCCATCCCCATATCCATGTCTCCTTAAGGGTACATCTCTCCCTACTCTCCCACTAAGGGACACCAGCAGACAGGATGCAGGGGCAGGATGCAGGCAGAGTCCAGCTGATGATCTGCCTCCTGCCCACCTCTCTGGTCTGCACCGACCACAGTTTCCATCCCCATAATGAGCAGTCCTAGGGTGAGGAGATGAGATGAATGGCAAAGCTGTGGTCAAAACAGGAACCCCCAATTCCCAGCCAGGATGTGATCCCTTAGCCAGAAGTCTTAATTGGAGATTCAGAGGTATCCTGGTCTTTAGCAGAAGCCCCCCTTCCCTTGTATTTCTTACATAACAAAGTTGCACTGGGGAAGAGCCTTGGGCTCTGCTGCCTGGATTCTAACCAATGACTCTGGCTCTCTCCTGCCATGCTCCCTTGTGAAGAAGGCTTTTGTTTCCTGCGGATATCCTTGGTTAATTATTTTTAAATAAATAATTGTGTAGCCTGTGCTGAGGGAGAAGCCTTCCCCATGGTGACCCATATTTGATTGTCAGAGGGCTGGCCCTTATTCCACAGCCAAATTAAATAGGCTAAATCAGAGACTGTTTGGTTTGAGAGCAAATCGATGATGGGGACAGGCTGAGAGGTGAGCACACAGCTGACCCTTGCATTATCACCACTCGCTCGGGAGCAGGGCATCTTGGGAAGGTAAACAGCTGGTCAGAGAGTCAGGTGAGAACCAAGGTGAAATCCAGATCCTCCACAAGGAAGGAATAGCTGGGCAGCAGCCAGGCCTCCAGTCAAGTTGCTTTAGAGGCAATGCATCAATAATTCTGCCTGAGCCAGGAACCCCTGGCCACTGTCTCCATTCAGAACGTAGGATCCTAGAATCTAGAATCCTAGAATCTCAAGGCCTGCCCACAGTTAGCTGCATGTTAAAGATGTTATTGTTAATCCTCAAAGAGCCCTGTTGAGGATCGGTTCTCTCCTTTTTATGGAAGGGTCAGAGAGGGATAACAATTATCCCATGATCACACATCTATGAAGAACCAAAGCAAGCTGGGTACAGTGGCTTGTACCTGTCATCCCAGCTACAAGGAAAGCTGAGATGGGAAGACTGTGGTCTCAGGTCAGACTAAAGGGGAAAACTCCATCTTGACAGAAAGAAGCTAGGCATGATGCCACACACCTACCATACCAACTTTAGCAGGAATCATAGGAGGATTGTGGTCCAGATGTAACCTGGGCAAAAAGTAAAAACCTTCTCTCACAATAACCAATGCAAAAAAGATCAGAGGTGTTGCTCAGCAGTAAACCAATTGGTTTTCTAAGAGTAAAGGCCCTGAGTTCAACACCCCCCCCAATACCTCCAAAAAGGAGGGGCAAGGTTTGAACCTAAGTTTGTTTAGTTGTATACCCCATTGTCTTCCCATTGCCCCTCATTGCTAGAACATTCTTTTATTGATTGTAAATCTGCCTCATTTTTAAAAATTGGCTCTACCTCTGCCTTTGGAGAATCTTCTGCCTTCATATAGTTCAAATCTCTTTCTTTTACATACATCCTATTGAACTATTCAAAGATTCTACTGAGAATCTACTGGCCACTGAGAGTGGAGAAAACCCAATGGCCAATGGGAGAAGAATGACCTAACAAGCCAAGGGAAAGTAGTAGAAGATGGTAGATAGGTGCTGTAAAACTGCAGAAGACATAGAGACATGGTCAGGGCAGAGTTGCTAAAGAGGTAGAAGCCTTTCCTCCTTTTAATTTCATGGCTTCTGTTCTTTCTCAAAAATGTAGTCCCTTGGACCAATAACCATTGAATTCCAGTGTCAAAACCACTCCTACTAGTAGCCCTTTGAGCCAAAGCAACCAGTAAATAAGCTAATAGTACAAGCATCAAGCCATGTCACTGTCTAACTAGTTGTTCTTAAAGATTTGAACTCTGTTTTAGTCAGGTGCCAGTGTTCCACATCTGTAATCCAGCTACTCAGATCCAGAGTATCACAGTTCAAAGCCAAGCAGAAAGCTCTCTGAAACTTGCCTCTAAAATAACTAGCAAAGAGCAGGACTGGAGGTATGCCAGTCAGGCAAGCAAACTGAGTTATGAGGCCTTAGTTTAAACTCTAGTATTGCCATAAAATTAAAAGAACAAACCAATTTTTAAAACTCTGCTTTAGCATTTGTCTTTCTTTTCTGCTCCCCTGCTCCCAGACCTTTTAAGCTTTAAGTCAGAACAGTGTTGGGTAATAGCCTTAAGAGAATCCTGGGAAAACTGATAGGAGTCTTTTTCTTGGTAAGTTTTAGCTTAGTGAATCATATAGGCTGCTAGCCATAGCTGCTTACCTGGCTGGCTCCAGAGGAGACTTTGTAGCCTTCCCTGGAAGGTGTGGCAGAAGGCAGGACAGGGGATGGTTCACCTTGGAACACTGGACAAAAAGAGAACAGCAGTCCCACTTCTCCAAATGATTCCAGGCCTGATGCATTGTCTTACAAGTGTTCAAGACAAATCTCCCTCTCCAAACTTTTTCATCAGATCCAAAGCAAAACAAAGCAACCCCCACAAAAAATATTGTGTATGTGTGTGTGTGTGTGTGTGTGTGTGTGTGTGTGTGTGTGTGTGTGTGTAAGTGTAAGATGTCCCCAAATAGCTCAATCTTCTGGGCACTGTTCCTGATCTTCTTTTGCTCAAAGCTAGCACTCTACCACTTGAGCCACAGCACCACTTCTGGCTTTTCCTATTTATGTGGTACTGAGGAATTGAACCCAGAACTTCATGCAAGTTGGGCAGGCACTCTACCACTAAGCCACATTCCCAGCCCTCTCCACTTTTTCATAGATACTCTAACAGGATTTTCTTCTACACGGTGACCCTGGTTCTTTGTCTTTTCGATTTCTTTCAGTCCCCTGGTACTCTGTCTAGCACTTTTCCTTTCTGAGAACAGCAGCAGTGAGACTGTAAGCAAGCTTGGTTCTCCCCTACCTTGCACACCAAACTACAGTGGTCCCTAAGAATCCACATCCACCCCAATGTGCTGCTTGCTTCACCCATCTTTGAGCTGGTGTGCTCTCCTATCTCCCTCCCCTCTACCTCCTCCCCCAACCAACCTCAGTGCTCTGAAAGTCAGCCAAATGGGACCCCATCAAAGGAATGTGAGTCCCAGAGCCAAACCCTGCTAGCTGCAGCCCTGTTCCTATCCTGCTTGCCAACCGTGTCTCTGGGCATTTGTGGATTGGCCAAAACTGATTGCCAGAGCTCAAAGCTCTCACGGGTCACAGGACAAGTGCATTTTTGTCGAATGTTCTACTCCTCATATACTCTGTGACCTCACACTGCAGATGCATTTCTAGGAGGTATTTTGAAGAAGAAAATATTCCAGCCAGTAATGTAATAGAAGGTCAACCTCAGCTTCTAAACTGTAACAAAACTGTGCTGATGTGGTAACCAGCAGGATGTGTTCATTCAGCAAAAGTTTATTAAGCCAGATGTTGGTAGTTCATGCCTGTAATCCTAGCTACTCAGGAGGCTGAGATCTGAAGAACAGGGTTTGAAGCCAACCCAGGCAGGAATATCCAGGAGACTCTTACCTACAATTAGCTAGCAAAACCAAACAAAAAGAAAAAGACAGAAGTGAAGCTATGGTTCAAGTAGTAGAATGCCAGCCTTAAGCAAAAAAGCTAATGGATAGTACCTCAGCCCTGAGTTCAAGCTCCAGTACCAATACACACACAAAAAAGTTTATTGAGTGGCTACCAGGTGTCAAGATACTGAAAACGCATCAATGAACAAAACAAGACGGATAAAAATATACTACCCTTATGAAGCTTACTATCTTGAATACATTAGAGGCCATGCCAACCTTACCCTGAGAAAGACAGCTGGTATTTCCTGTGGGTGGACAGGGGAGGAGAAAGCAATTTTATTTTCTTGTCATCCAGCCTTGAAAACAAGGGGCACTGAGTCAGTGTTCCAGGGCCCTGGCGACACTAATGTTCTCTATTGGGCTCATGTTGTTTTGCAGGAGTTCGCTACAGCCAGCAGGGAAACAATGAAGTCACTTCCTCTTCAACAATCAGTCACCACGGTAACAGCGCCATGGTGACCAGCCAGTCAGTTTTGCAGCAAGTCTCCCCAGCCAGCCTGGACCCCAGCCACAATCTCCTCTCACCTGATGGTAAAATGGTGAGTACACCTGGGCCATTGTAGCTCGGGAGCTGATAAGATAAGAGGCAAAACAAACACAACTTCTCACAAGGCCTGCCTCAAACAATGAACCATTGTAGCCCCACCAAGGAAAATGGGGGCTGCCCAGAATTGGAACGGAAAGGTAGGCTGGTGACCCAGCCTTTGGCGGGTAGAAGAGGTGTTCGGTTTGAACCTAGCTAATAAATCTGACAGAGCTCTGCTCTCGTTTTATTGATTGAATGCCTCATAAAGGAGCAAGCCGGGTGGGACACTGTTTGTTTTGGGGCTGCCAGTGACATTTGTGTTGATAAAATGTTCATTCATCCCTCTCCTCCAAGACCTCCAAAGCCAGTTGTTTTTGGGTCTTCCCCCCCCCCACTTTAACCTGCAGAAAACCTCACTTTGGGACAAGTCCCCGCTTTATCCATTCCCCCTGGTATTGGGGAAGCAAGCCATTAACGAGACAGAATTGAGTGGATGACAGGCCAGGAGAAGCTTCCAGAACTGTGATCCTGAAGGGCACTGCCCTTGTAGATCACACAAAATGGCAGGCAGGGTGGGGCGGTGCTTAGAGGGTGAGAAACCCCGACTTTGAAGTTACAATGACTTGCTGTTCCACACTGAGTGGTATAGCCTTGGGCAAGTTACTGAACTACCTCTTTTCCTCATCTATAAAATGGGGGTAACAGCATTAGGGTTCTGGGGAAGGGGGTAGCGGGACATTTGTTCAGCTCCGTAAATACTTTATGAACAGCAGTGTTGTTTTGTCAGTGTCAGTGTCATTCCCATTAAATGAAGCTCTTAATATCCATACCTGGAGTGTCCCCCTCCCACTATACCCAGCTATAAATTTAGCCCACTTGCTAAGGGACAGGATTCTTAGAATTTCCAAGGTTCTTATTCTTTAGCAATCAGAAGGGCCAGGGAGAGGGACCTGTGGGACAAGAGAAGGATTATGCTAGCCACCGGGGAGGGTAGGAAATGGAAAACTTTATTCTTTGGGTCATGCTCTATTTCAGGGGTGGGAGGAGCGGAAGGTGGAGCAAGGTGTCTGACCTCAAGGCCCTTGGGGGCCAGAGTGGGGGAAGGGCAGGGAGGGGGGCAGAGAGCAGATGCCATTCTAGACCTTGACGTGTGTGCTGTGTAGGCAACACAGGAATAGCGAGTGAGTCACAGGTGATCAGGTCCCCAGATCCCTGGAGGAAAACAAAAAATAGTTCCTAAGCAGACCATGGCCCAGCCAACTCTAGTTTCAGGGGGACCTGAGCTGGTTGACCTGGTGTGAGTCCTTGCAAACAAAGGAAAGGGCACTTGCTGGGAGGCCTTTTTGCAGCCCCTGCCCTCCCCTCTTCCCCAACTCCACCATCCCATAGGAAAGATCCTTCTTCCGGAAGAACAATTTATGTCAGCTACCTTGTGAGAGGCACCGGCAAGTCTTTATGATTTCTCAAGAGTCACGTCAAGACCCAAACAAGTTAAAGTTAAGCATTATCCAGGCTTCTATTAAGGAAAAAAAAAAAAAAAAAGCACAAGTCTTAGGCCAGGGATATGGCTCAGAGACAGGGTCCTTGTCTAGCATGTGTGAGATCCTGGGTTTGAGTCACAAGAAGTAACTAAATAAATCCCACTCTCAGTCTCTAACTTCTTGAAGGCCCCCAGAGTTAACTCTCTGAGCTCTCCCACTGCTCTTCTAAGAGGCAATGTGCTTCACCCACACCCTGGCTGCTCCCAATACTGCCTGCAGACACACTTTTTTCTTTCTTGTGTTCTGCTCTGCAGCATCCTAAATGGGAAGTATATTATTGGATTGATGATTGACCAAAACAACACACCTCGACCTTAGCAAACATCTGGAGGCTTGTTTGCAGGGACCAGCTTCTTGCTGGTCTCCTAACAATCTGCTTCATATGTTATGTCACTGGATGCCCCAAATTCAAGAGTCTGTTCTCAGTTAATGGATAACAAGGTCATCACAGATCTTGGCCCACCAAGGCAAGAGAGGGTTAAAATGGAACAGGACCAGAGGGTCCGAGCCTTAGTGTTTCATTTATTTATTAGCAATAAGATAGAAAAGTTGTTTCTCTATTTTCATCTGTACAATGGGAAAGGAGGATAAGAATATCTGTGTCAGCGGGGCACCAGTGACTCGTGCCTATAATTCTAGCTACTCAGGAGGCTGAGATCTGAGGATCACGTTTCAAAGCCAGCCCGGGCAAGAAAGTCCATGAACCCCTTATCTCCAATTAAACACCAGAAAACCAGAAGTGGCACTGTGGCTAAGTAGTAGAGTGCTAGCCTTGAGCTGAAGAGCTCAGGGACAGTGCCCAAGCCCAGAGTTCAAGCCCCACAACTGACCAAAAAGAAAAAAAAATAATACCCGTGTCATAGAGTTGCTGTGAAGATTGTTTATAGCTCAGGTCTTTTGAGAGTAAGCTAATTTTCATTAGGACACACTCTGAAACCTTCCCCCAGGCGTTGGTATTGCAAATAATGCCATCCATCTGAGCTCTTCAAATGGAAGAGCAGAAAGTTATTCCATTGCAGGAACTCTGGCTCCATGCCAAATGGGTTTTCTTTGACAAAAAGCTAGCCAAATTGAGGGTTGCAATCTGTATGTGTCTGTAGGTTGATTTTTGTCTTTTCTTTTTGGAACATCTACTGAATATTTTCACAGTATTAAGCAGGAGGGCCTAAAGGTGAAAAGCTCAATCCTTGGGGGCAGACTGCCAATATATTTTTTTAACTCTAAGGCTAGCACTTGGATACAGTCTCAACTCCTTTGAATTTCAATTTCCTTGTGTGAAAGGTCAGATAACATCACTAGTTATAGGGACATAAAGGAATTTTTAAAAGGATGAAGGGACTGTAAAGGGTAGTGTTAATTACTCAAAAACCCCTCCTCCCCAAATTCTCAGGTAAGAGTGGCTACTATATCTTTGGGAACCCTGATTTCATCAGTCCTGGAGGCTAGTGGAGAATAATGATTGCCTTTTAGAGCAAGAGGTAGCTTGGTCAAGGTTGTCCAAACATAGTTAAGTGGCTGGATTTAAACTCCTAGAGAACTGGGTGTGAATTCAAGCTTCCTCCTATACTAGTCAAGGGATAGTCTTGGTGCTTCTGAGGATCAGCTTCCTAATCTGTAATATAGGGACAATCATCAAACGCTCTTATACTCATTATACTCTCTTTCCTATCTGTGCCATCATGGACTGAGGACAATTGGCAAACACAGTTTATAAATTCTAAAGGCAAACACATTTAAATTGCTGGCCACAATTCTGCTGTCCCATCAAAAGCAAATGTTGAAATGACGGAGAGATGACCAGGTCTTTACTGACTTTCTCCAAAGGACGGCATTACCCCTACCAATTCAGTCTAAGGACGGGTCACTGATTTTTTTTTTTTTTTATGACTCTGACATTTTGAAAAACAAGTCCAGCAAACAGGCTGGTTCTCTCTTGTTTGATGTGGCCAGAATTCTTTCTTGGTCATGTGACCTCTAACTCATTTCTTGATGCTCATTTAAAAAACACAAACAAACCTGTTTGGATTCCCCCCCTTTTCTTTCTTTTTTTTTTTTTTTCAAATTAACCTTGGAAACTATGAGTTGACTAGAAGGGTGGAGCTGGGGCAGCAAAATAGTGTCTTACTAGGTATTAGTGTGAAATTTAGAATCTGAAGAGCTCTGGGCAGGGAAAAATGGAAGAAAAAAAAGGAGCTAAAGGATGGATTTCCTAAGGCCTCAACAATGACTGATTTTTTTTTTTTAGAATGAACAAACCCTGGGTTGGGAAGGTGGCTCAGTGGCAGAGCACTTGCCTTGCATGCCTGAGGCCCTGGGTTCGATTCCTCAGCACCACATAAGAAAAAAAGAAAAAAGCCGGAAGTGGCGCTGTGGCTCAAGTGGTAGAGCGCTAGCCTTGAGCTGAAGAGCTGAGGGACAGCGCCTAGGCCCAGAGTTCAGGCCCCACGACCGGACCCAAAAAAAAAAAAAAAGAATGAACAAACCCTTGCTGAATAATAATTTTAGAAATTGTTTTAAAAGGATAAATAGTAAATTACTTTATCATGGAAAAAAAGGAAGTGTAAAAAACAGCTCCATTCTGTAACTAGTAGGAAGCTCCTGGAAGAGATAAGAAGTTGGGCTCTAGGATCAGACAGACTTGGGCTTGAATAACAGGAGTACCATTTACTAGTTGCAGAATCTTAAGCAGGATTCACATCAAATGAGCTTCAGCTTCTCATCTCTAAAATGGGAATAAGAGAAGTATGACTGTACAGCCCTGTCCTGAGGTTTGTGCATTAACCCAGCAAATACTCCCTGTGCACAGGAGCCTGGTCCCAAATCCACTCTCTAGCAAATCCCAGGGCATGTCTTCAGTCATTATTTTTAGCAGTTATAGCTGGGAAGGTGGCTCAGTGGTAGAGCGCTTGCCTTGCATGCATGAGGCCCTGGGTTCAGTTCCTCAGTATCACATAAGCAGAAAAACCCGGAAGTGGCTCTGGGGCTCATGTGGTAGAGCGGCTAGCCTTAAGCTGAAGAGCTGAGGGACAGTGCCCAGGCCGAGTTCAGTCCCGATGACTGACCAAAAAAACAAGACAAAACATAAAACAAATGGCTGATGTATATTTTTAGCAGTTATATATCTCAAATATCAATAATATAGAAGTTAGAGAAGCAGAACAGAGGGCACATAAATAGTGACAGTTATACAATACATATGAGCAGAATTCAACTCCAAGATAATAAATACAAACACCATGCGGACAAGAAATATGCCTATTGTACTTGCTGCTCTACCCTCAGCATCTAGAGCAGTGTCTGTGCTACAGTAGCTCTTGGATGGATGGATGGATGGATGGATGGATGGATGGACAATTGAGTGAATGAATGAATGAATAAATTGATGCTGAGGCAAGCTAAGTGTCATTCTACAAACTGCCCTTTGTGATTCTGGTTGGTCTCATTCCTGCTGCTCTTATTTTTCCAGCAGATATCGGTCTCAGGAGGAGGATTGCCGCCAGTCAGCACATTGACGAATATCCACAGCCTCTCCCACCACAATCCCCAACAGTCCCAGAACCTCATCATGACCCCCCTATCTGGAGTCATGGCCATTGCACAAAGTAAGTTCTATTCTTAATCTGAAAACATGGGGCAGGGGGAAGAATGATGAGAAGCAAGTCCACATGACTTTTTTTAAAAAGACTATTTTGTACCTGTAGATTGGATTTAATTTCCTCAATATTTGGACTGTTCAGTCTAAAACAAGAGAAGATTTTGGAATGCATTTGAATCCTGCTCACAGTTAACAAGCTGCGCAGCCTGAATCAAATGCCTGCTTTAGATGAGGCTCAACTTCCTTATGTATAAAATGGGTGCTTATAGCCCTCAAAATGATAACAAATACCAACATACTTGTAAATCCAGAAAGCATGAATAGTCATAATATGTAACTTATCCTTTTGTCTTGTGTTACTTCTTATTCCTGAGTATGTGACACATTTTTCCAAGAGGGTCTTTATATTGATAAAGGTGGAGGAAGACATTTGAAGGGCTTCCTTCTAAATGTGGAAATTTATGTTGCAGGCCAGACCTCCTTGGTTAATTGGTGCACACACAGAGGGAGACATCAATGCTGGAGTGTCTTTTGAGGTTTGAAAACTCTAAGGAGAAATAGAAGCTTTTCCTACATGACTGAATACAGGGAGATGGGTCCAGATCCAGGAGGCTAGTTTATAACTATCACAGGTGGGCCATTTTGGGCCATAGGAAGGCTGAAGCAGACAAACAAGCTGTAGTTGCAGATGTCTCTGAAAATTTCAGCATTGGAGGGTTGCAGCTTTACCATGACAGCTCAGGCCATGCCATTGCTTCTCGAGACTCTCCTTGTGAACCATCCAAGTATTTTTGAATATTTTTATATGGCTCTGGAGTGATCTGGAGGGTACATCTGTCATCTTTTTGTTTGGTCTCATTGTCCCCTTTGCCTGTCTTGTGTCCAGTACTTATGTTGATCCCCTCATTGTTTGGTCCTGCGTTTTTGCTTTCCTCCCCTTTTGTCTCTAAATCAGTAGCAGCTAAGTAGGAGCTCAGATCACTTCTGAAGGGAATGACTCACAGGTCCTGGCACCATTGGAGGCACACAAATTCATTGAGTGATTGTCTGACTCTCACCTGATTCTTAGCTCCTGGGAAATCACACTCTGCATTTATTTCTGCACAGGGGAAATTTAGATGATTCACAAAATAAAGATTATTTTTAACCTTCTTAAAAATTGTCCTTTAATGGGGCTGGGGAGGTGGCTCAGTGGTAGAGTGCTTGCCTTGCATTCATGAGGCCCTCGGTTCAATTCCTCAGCACCACATAAGCAGAAAAAGCCAAAGGCTCAAGTTTTAGGCATTCTCTGAACTAAACATCTCCCTAGGCCATTCTATATTTTCCAATTTTGTTCTTCCTAATCTCTTCCATCATACATGTCTACAATTCACAGGGCTGTCCTCTACCAGGTGGGTGGTGCCAGACTGCACACTGACCACAGGAACATGCATGTGGGTGGGTGTTCATTTTGATGGGTGGATCATCAAGGATAGCATTATCCAGAAACTTTGCCCTTTCCTGGAGAGTCAGAATAGACAGTGGGTTACAAACAACCTCATTCAGCCAATACATGTGTTGCTGAGTATCTGAGCCCTGGGTCAGTACTGCAGGTTCCCTGCAGGGCTCAGGATAAATGACTTATCAGTGTCAAGTCCTCTACTGGATTGCTTCCAGTAGATGTTCTTAAGCAGAGTCTGTGGCCAGAAAACAGACGAGAGCAAGAGTTATATACTTTGGGAGTTAAAAATGACATCAGAAGCTCTTAGTTCTGGAATTGAGGCATCAGCATCACAGATTGTTAAACATAAGATTCCAAGACCCCACCTTAGAAGGATCTGACTCATTAAGTCTTGGGTGGGACCCAGGAATGTGTATTCCTTTCTTTCACCCCTCCTGCCTTTTTGAGCGTGTGTAGCTCCTGATCTTTCTGCTTCTGCCTCTTGAATATTTCTTGTTTCTTTTCTCTCTCTTCCCCCTTTCCTTTCTTCCTTCCCCTTTCCTTCCCTTCCTTTCCTCCTCCCTCCTTCTTTTTCCCTTCTTCCTCTCTACCTCCTCCTCCTCTTCCTTTGGTTTAACACTCTTCCCAGTGATCTATTTCAACTGGCCTTTACAGAATGTATATTTCTAACAAAGTTCCCTAAGATGACTCTGAAGCTCATGTGCATTTCAGAACTATGTTCTCGAGTATAATCTGCTCTAGACAAGTTAATTTGCTATTCCCAGAAAGAGCAGTGGTCATGGGCTCTTGGAAAAGCAGTAGATCCATGGGACTTCCTGGGACTATAAAGGAGGTGGGAAAAGGAATTAGTACATGAGGATATCAGGGAATCATGAACTGAGCTCCTCTACCCAAAATTATGCTGAGAGTGATCAGAGCCTCACTCCCCACCCCCACCCCCAGGAGAGTCCAGAGAAGGGATTTTCCCTTCTTTGCTTTCTGCGCATGAGTCTTGTCTTTTAGATTTCCGATAGAGGTATCAGCTACCAGCAAGTAGACAATTGTTGAGGACTCTGCTATCTCCAGTGAAGATTTCCCACAATTCCCCTTACGGAAACCCTCTCCCTTTTCTGAAAGGCTCTCCAGTGCCCTCTAGGCATCTACCCACCACAGACCTTTTTCTGGATTTCCTTCCTCATCCCATTCTTCCCCTTATTTCCCAGAAATAAGACCATAGGAACATTGGCTGTTCCAGTGACAAGGTTTGCAGTGTCATCTCTTGACGCTGTTGTCCCCACTTCACCATTACCTCAGCTGTCTTCACCCAAGTACCATTCAAGGTACTATAGCATGTGGGAACTAGGGGGGCCTGGTCTGTGCCTGAATTCTAAAGAGGCCGCAAGATATAGACACAGTTCCAAACCACACAGGTACTCACACTCCCAAAACAGAAAGATGGCCGGACTGTGGAGGGCAGGCTGGCCTTTAACTTACTGCTTCCTTCTTCTCAAGCCTGGTTTTTTAGTACCACAAACCCCAATGGTATATGCCCACTTTACAAGTTGGCTGAGCCCCTGCTACAGCTAGGAGAGCCAGCTCCAGATCTCTCTCAAGGTCTCTGTACTGTCTACTAAATAATGCTTTTCAGTTTCCATATTCCCAGGACAATGGAGCTTGTTTCCTTTTGAATCAAAATGTGGGCCTCTTCACACTGCTGCCCTCTACTGGAAAAAAAAAAAAGAGAGAGAGATGGGCAATTATCCATGCCCAAGAATGGATGCAATAAATTCACTCCTTACCCAGGACAATGTGGGCAAGCCTGTCTTACAGTCCAGCATGGACAGACTGGACAAGTTAGAGTCAGTTTTTCCACCTGCCCTAGAGGTCACACCATGGCCTATGGTGACCTCGAAGGAGCTGAATTTGGGAGGCCACAGGACAACTTCTCGAACGATCTCTTTGGTAACAGGCTCAGACCAGCATCGGGCAGTAGGAGCCGGGGCTCCTGCTCTGACTGCTCCCATTCATTCCCCTCTCTTAGACCTGACACCATCTCTGATCTTGTTCTCTTTTTCCCACAGGCCTCAACACCTCCCAAGCACAGAGTGTCCCCGTCATCAACAGTGTGGCTGGCAGTCTAGCAGCCCTACAGCCTGTCCAGTTCTCACAGCAGCTGCACAGCCCCCACCAGCAGCCCCTCATGCAGCAGAGCCCGGGCAGTCACATGGCCCAGCAGCCCTTCATGGCTGCAGTGACTCAGCTACAGAACTCTCACAGTAAGGACGTGGGCATGATGGGGCGTGACCGGGCAAGGAGTACCACCCCCCTGCACCCCCGCCGCTTCCCTCCCTCTCTGAGTTGAAACTTCCTTAGACAGTTATCAATTTGGTGACTTTTCCTTGACTATAAATCAACAGAGACAGTTGTCCAAGTACAGTTTCTCTTCTTTTTATAATCCTCTTTTCTGCCCCAAAGATTCCCCTGGGGGAGTTTTTCAGTGGACAATGGAGTCCTACATGTAATCAAGGCAAAGTTTCCCATTCTGGCATCCATGGAGGGCAGCTCACTCATCAACCACAGCACTTAACTCCTGTGAGCCTCTGCTTAGCTTTCTTACCCCAAATTCTCAGAGTTGGCATATGATTGGTTTCCTGTTTGCTCCCCTAAAAATAAGAGAATCTTTCAGAGTCCCCAAATCCCCAGTTTATACCACCCAGACATCTCTAAAAAAGAAAAAAATAAACATGAATGTAGGAAGAGGCATCAGCGACTCACATCTATAATCCTAGCTACTCAGGGAGGCTGAGATCTGAGAATTGTGACTTAAAGCCAACCTAGGTAAGAAAGTCTGTGAGACTCTAATCACCAGTTAACTATCGAAAAGCTGGAGTGCAGCTGTGTTTCAAATGGTAGAGGACCAGCCTTGAGTAGATAAGCTAAGGGTCAGCACCCAGGCCCTGAATTTAATCCCCAGTACCAGAATCAAAATTACAACAACAACAAAAAAAAAAAAACAGGAATGTAGGCAGAAAATACCACCTGCTGAGATTAGAGATATGACTCAGGTGTGCCAGCCAATGACTGAAAGCTTCAGATACCAAGTCTGAAGCCTGGACTCAGACAAAAAGAAAGAAAGAAAGGAAGGAAGGAAGAAAGAAAGAAAGGAAAGAGAGAGAGAAAAGAAAGAGAGAGAGAAAAGAAAGAAAGAACAAGAGAAAAGAAAGGAAGGAAAAAAGAAAAGACCACCCACATAGTCATCCAGGGTGAGGAGTATCTGAATCTCTGCCCTGTATTCCTCAATACACATCTACCTCCCCTAAGTCTACCTAGCTCTACTTTCTACCCAAAGCCAAGCCTCTGCTCCCCTAGCCAACTATCCAGTGTCTAACCAATGAATCTGGAGAGGAATAATGGAAAAGATAGATGGCCTACTTTCTTCAGGAATACCTGAGATTTCCTCTATGTCTTTCCTCCATGGATTTGTCTCCATGTTCAGTAAACAGGACCTGGGCCATGTCCAAACATATAGACCTGTCTTAAATCAGACAGACATGGTTATAAATCTGGGCTCTGTCTGACATTTCCCAGTTCTGTGGCAGGTTACTTAGCTACACTGAGTTTCCATTTCTTCATGCATAAAATTGGAGTTCACCATAGGGCCATTATGGAAATGATTTAGCAAGCCATTAGAGTTATATTAATGCAAGTGATTGTTCATTAAGGAACTTCCAGGAGGCAAGGCAAAGGGGATTTGGGTTTCTTCCCCAGGCTGCCTTAGCCAAAGCGGTGGCTCTGAAGAGCAGCCAAGTTCAGCCTTCTGTCCCCAGGGCTCAAACCCTATTCAGGCTTGCAGAGCTGGCTTCTGAGCACCATCTCACATTCCAATCACATAGTCGTGGCTTCTAAAAATGTTGCCACAACTAGTAGCAGGGTCTGGAACGACTCATTTCCCTTCCTCCCAGCATGCTTCTCGCTAGCCCCTATAATCCTCGCCTCAGAAAGCTAGGGGTGGGGGTGGGGGTAGGGGGCAGTCACAAAGGAATCACCATGATCTATAGGTTAATGAGGCCCAACAGATTTGGCCAGCCAAAATAAATAGAGAGTCCATAGTGTTGTGGCCCAGGAAATAACCATCCTCACTGAACAAGAAGGGCAAGTTGAGGCCTAGCCAGCGAACTTCATCTTTATTCCTAAACTGGAGGACTCCTCGGTAGGGTCTGAGAAAAGGTTAGTCCCTCCCCCATGGCCAAGCATCCCTATGCTTCCATTAGTTGGCCCATGTGTCTTAGAATGTACACAATTCCTATGTATAACTAACATGAGTCAAGGGGTTCCCAGTAAGGTGTGCAAGTACTAGGGGAAAAAAAAAACTTTAGGTACGTGCTCTCAGAAGTTTTATTGGAATAGTTTTGTTTTTCTTTTATATTTCTATGCTGTCTGGGAATAGCCCAGAATGATACATTAGATTGCATATGTGTCTAATTACTGTTGTTAATCAGTCTACAACTCTGGCCAGAAACTTGGCTTTGAGTCATGTCAGAAATAGTGAACGTGTACTTGGACAGATATGTCATGTTAGCCAGCTACTTAGAACATTTAAAATCACAAATGCCTAAGGATCACCTCATGAGCTTGAGGTTAAACACCTCATATCAAAAAGTCAGGGCAATAGAAGTACTCCAATACACTAGGCACTATGCAAGGCCATATACTTGTGACAAAGAAGTTTAAACATGGTATTTCCTAGTCCTACAACAGGTGTCACCCCCTCCCCATTTTACAGATGAGGAAACAGAGGTTAAATAGTTTCATTAAGGAGGCAGGATTTCATCACATCAAATGCCTTCCCAAATGTAACTACCACTCTCCTTTATCGACCTAGGGAAAGGGTAGCTGTGGTGTGGATGGGGGGAGGGGAGAGTAGTAGCTACCTATGTGCCTCTGAGTATGCATCCAGAGTTTGTCTTTCCTCTCTCCCCAGTGTACGCACACAAACAAGAACCTCCCCAGTATTCCCACACCTCCCGGTTTCCATCTGCCATGGTGGTCACAGATACCAGCAGCATCAGTACACTCACCAACATGTCTTCCAGTAAACAGGTAATGGGCAGCTGGATTGGTGGGTGGAGGGGTAGCATATGACTAAGGGGCGGTGAGTGTGGGCTCAATCATAAGTTTGTCCTTCCAAGATTCTCTCTGAGGCTCTTTTAGCTACTTGCTACAAAACTCTGAGAGTCCAGCACTGGTGGCTCATACCTATAATCCTAGCTACTGAGAAAGCTGCCATCTGAGGATCAAAGTTCCAAGCCAACCCAGGCAGGAAAAGTCCCCATGAGACTCTTATTTCCAATTAGCTACCAGAAAACTGGGAGTTATATTGTTGCTCTAGAACATTAACTCTGAGTAAAAGAGCTCAAGGATAGCTTTCAGGCCCTGAGTTCAAGCCCAAACTGACAAGAAGAAGGATGAGGAGGAGGAAGAAGAATAATCATCTCTGAGGTCTCAGGGCAAAAAAGATGGGCCACAGTTCAAAAAGGCTTATTGCTTCCCAGCTTCCCCAATAAAAGCACTAACTAAGGACTGAAGTCTAATAGATGGCTGGAGATTGGTTCCACTGAGCTCTTAGGCCTTGAGATTGAGCATTCTCTAATGAGATGACTGATGAACCGTGGAGAGGGTATTTCCAAGACAGACTCAGGAGACAAAACTGTTGAGTTGCATGCTTTGCAGAGGTAGTCAATGGAGAAAGAGAATGGTGAGTTAGAGCTAGTGGATCCTCAGGACACTGAGGTCTGAGATTCAAAGCCAGCCTGGACAGACAAATCCATGAGCCTCTTATCCATGAGTTGCTCAAGTGGTGAAGCACCAGCATTGAGCAAAAGAAGCTAAGGGAGAGCACCCTGCCTTTGTTGAATTCAAGCCAGCACATTGTGTGTGTGGACACACACACACACAACCCACACATGCGTGCGTGCACCAGTCTGGGGTCCAGGAGCTGATTTTCTCAATCCGGGACCTCTGCTAAAACACCATAAAGTTGAAAGAATGACCCAATTCTACCAACCAATGGGCACTCCCCAGGAGATAGCATGGCTTTTTCTAAGGGTCTTCATTCACTTAGAAACTTACAATTAATTTCCTGGTATGCTAAAAGAAGGGGAATCCAGAGGCTTAGTCATCAGCTCAGTGGATGAGTAATTCCCACCTCCTCCCAGAGGCTCACTGCAAGGGGCCACCGAGAATCCGAAAACAGGACAAAATGTCTGAACACGGATGTCGATTCTAGAACGACACAATCATTTCTTTTAGTAGCTGGGGTCTGTGCAGTGTGGGAACTGTTTGTCCTTTTATTGATTACTAGATAAGGACCTGGCAACCTTGAACTTCATGTCAGAGGCATTCAGCAGGATTTGATCTTGTTGATGTTCTCCCTCCTCCCCTCTCCCATCTGAGCAGATTTCTTTCATAGGTTTGGGAACCTCAGTTCTTTTATTTGTCCCATCTTCTTCCAGCTCTACAATGTCAATGGGTTTAATTCCTAGCTCTGATATATATTTTTTTTTTGGAGGGCTCATCTTGACCTCTCTAAGCCTTCATAAATATTCTAAATATTTTTTTCATCTTTAAAGAGATAGTTGTAACATCTACTTGTTCCAAGGATTCTGCAAGGTGATGTAGATTAAATGCATGTCTTGGGTGCTAAAACATTCACCTAGCCTGGGTAGCTGGGCTCTGGCATTTGGGGGTGGAAGGAAGGGTTGTGGGACCTGCTCAGCCACTATTCTCTCACCCAATAGAAGATTAAAAGACAACTCCTGTTGCCCTGCCCTTCGACTTCCAACTCCCGTGTGATTTCCCACTCTTTGTAGTGAGCAGGGAAAACATTTATCTGTGTTCACAAATCTCAATCAAGGGGGCAGCCAGGCACAGCAGCCCTCCTTGGGAATATCTTCCTCTTTGAAAGGTTTATCAATCCATCTGCCGCTTGGGCAGCCCTCCTCGACAGGGTCATGATTAATTATTCCTGTCTTTCCCAAGTTGACTTTGATGCTTTGCTTTTGAAATGAGTCATCTCAATTCAGGAAATAGTCTCTTAATCAGAATACTGAAAAAAGCTCCCTGAAATGCTGCCATTGGCCCCTAAGTGTCTTCTCCCCTCCACTGGACAGAGTGGCCAGCCGACCTTGAAGCTGTTTGAGCAGAACCCTCACCCTCCCAATCTACACTGAAGTTTTCTCTGTGGACCCAGACATTGCAGAAGTCTTAACAGATTCATTTCTGCATAATGAAGATAACTTATTGCACTTAATAAGAATTTTTTTAATACCAATGTAGGCTGGGCGCCAGTGGCTCACACCTGTAATCCTAGTTACTCAGGAGATTCTTGAGATCTGAAAATCATAGTTTGCATTTTTTTTGGGGGGGGTCTGGTCATGGGGCCTGACCTCTGGGCTTGAGCGCTGTCCCTCAGCTCTTCAGCTCAAGGCTAGCGCTCTACCACATGAGCCACAGCGCCACTTCCAGCTTTTTTCTTTTTGTTTATGTGGTGCTGAGGAATCGAACCCAGGGCCTCAGGCATGCAAGGCAAGTGCTCTACCACTGAGCCACTTTCCCAGCCCCTGAAAATCATAGTTTGAAGCCAGCTGAGGCAAGAAAATCTGTGAGACTCTCCAATTAGCCACCAAAAACAAACAAACAAAAAAACAGCAACTGGAAGTAGACCTGTGTCTCAAGTGGTTAAGTACCAGTCTTGAGCAAAAAAGCTAAAGGACAGCACCCATGCTCTGAGTTCAAGTCCTGATATCAGAACTTGTAAGTGCACACATAGACACACACACACACACACAAATAATTCACATAGCCTTTTACTTAGTTTATCCTTCTTGTAAACTATCTCCTCAATTTCTTTCTTGTAAACTATCTCCTCAATTTCTTTATATTGCAATAAACTGTAACTCAGCGAGTGATTTGCCTAAGGTCAAACAGATGATAAATCCTACAGTTTGACCTCCAGACTTTGGTCTTTGACTCCAAGTACTGAATTCTTTCCACTTAACAACTCTTGCACCTGTCTTTGAAATCCCCATGGTAATTGCTGTCCATCTTGTTGTTTTTAGTGGTTAGGAACCAGAGCAAAAAGTAAGCCCAGAGCCAGGTACCTGTGGTACCTGCCTGTAATCCTAACTACACAGGAGGCTGAGATAGGAGGATTATGGTTTGAAGCCAGATGTGGCAGAAAAATCCTTGAGACTCATATTTCCACTTAATCACCAGAAAGCCTCAAGTGGCAAAGGCCCAGCCTTGAGCAAAAATGATCAGGGAGAGTACTTAAGCCCTGACGTTAAGCCCCAGGGCTGGAATAGGGGGAGGGATTAGACGTAGGTGCTAAGTTCCAACCAAAACACTGTCTTCCTGCACAGCTAAGGAGATGGAAAGATGGAAAAGGCAGGATGGAAGTGAAGTTAAAAGTGCCACCTGGACTGGGAAGGTGGCTCAGTGGTAGAGTGCTTGCCTTGCATGCATGAGGCCCTGGGTTCAATTCCTCAGCACCACATAAGCAGAAAAAAAAA